GGTTTCCCGGAGCCGCCGGGACCAAGGAGCTGAGTGGCTGCAGACAGCCCTGCCGGCTTCCTGGCGCAGCCGTCCGTCAGCAGACGGCGATGGAGAGAGCGGCTTCTCTCCGAGTCAGTGACCCTGTTGTCCTTCTCTGGGAGCCGCGGCCCAGACCCCTCGCGCCCTGCGCTGGCCTTCGTGGTCCAGCCGGCACCGCCACCCGCTCTGGTCGCAAGAATCCCCACGATTGTGGCCGTCAGCTCCGGCGCCTCGGCCCTCAGCCACTGGACAGACGCTGGACAGACACTGACCACAAGTGCTGTCGGGCACCGTGTTCTAGAATATTCCATGTGGGCCCATCTTCCACCAGAGCAGCCTTCTAGACCAGGGGCTGGGCTGGCGGGGCTGCCCCTCCTCTGACGGGAAACCAGGGCTCCCCAGGAAGCAGGCGGGCGTGGCCGCGGGCGTCTCAGCCGCACAGCGCAGGCCCCTTTGGGTGGAGCTCATCTCAGAGCGGCTGCCGTGCGCCTGGTGATGTTAGAGCTGAACTCACGTCACTTCTAGACGTTTATAAGGAGGCCGGTCCGACGGGCGCCCACGGGGTGGGGTGTGCCGCCCCCGGGGCCGAGCGCTCTGGGCTGCTTTGTCTTTAGGGTCAGGGTGCGCCTTTCCGATCGGAGCCGCAGGGGAGCTTCAGGAAGAGGCAGGAGGGGCCGCCAGCCGTGGGGAGCCCAGTGGGCCCCGTGTGACGTGGGGACGTGCTCCCTGGGTGCCTCTGAGATGAACGTAAACAGCTCAGGAGGGAGCGGCTGCAGGAAGCGGATGGGACACAGCTGTCCCGCGGCTGCTCTGGGCCCCGAAGGCGCCTGTGGGGGAGGGGGGGCGGCCTCGGACCGACACTGACGTCGCTGATGCCATTTCCTGCCCCTCACTAGTCTGTCCTTTGCCCAGAGAGGGGCCCATCTTCGGGGCTGGAATTTGTATTTATGCTTGAAATCCCTAGTTTTTTCCCTCTTTTTTATTTTTTGTAAATACTAAACCCTATAGAAGAAACTCTAAGAATTGTTACGAGAGAAACTCCTGGCTGTGTCTGGGCAGCGTCACCCTGAGGTTGCTGTCACCCCAACGCGCCCCTCTTCCTCCACCGTGAGCAGAGGACCGGGTGCCAGGCCCCAGCAGGGAGGGGGTATTTTTAGGGAACAGGCATGAGCTAAATGCCCCCGTCACCCAGGAAAGACAGAGCCCAGACGTGCCAGCTCCGCTGTCGCCCGAGTCGGTGCTGGTCCTGGGAGGACTCCCCAGCGTCCAGGCGCGCACAGCCAGCCCCTCGGGCCTGTCTTGGAATTTGTATCAACTATTGAACCCTGAGTCGCACCCCAGGGCAGGTCTATGTGATGGAAACCTCTTTCCTTCTGTGGGAAGCTGGTGCCCCCCTCCCCGCGCCCCAGGCTGTGCACGCTGGGCCCTGGCTGCCTGGTGGGGCTGCGTGTGGGCCTCGCGGCTGCTGGTGGCTACTGGACGGGGGTCTGTGACCCAGAGGGAGGGGCCGCCTTTCACGTCTGCGTCCTCGCGGGCCTCTGATAACACCGCATGTCATCCGGAGACCTCCCCGAGCGGGGAGCTGGCCCTCACCCCCTGGCCCAGCGGCAAGAGAAGAGGGCCTTCGCGGGGCATCACGCGGAAGCACGTGCGCCCACAGACCCTCATCCCCCCTCCCCCCCCGCCAGCCATCGCCATGCTGAGGGACAAGGAGCCCGGGTCCTTCGTCGTCCGGGACAGCCACTCCTTTCGAGGCGCCTACGGCCTGGCCATGAAGGTGGCCACGCCCCCACCCTCCGTCCTGCAGCTGAACAAGAAAGGTGGGTGCCGGCCCCCCCACATCCTGGTTCCGTGCCTGCCCTCGGGACGCGGTGCTCACAGGTGTCTTCTTAGCATTTGTCTTCTCCGGTGCATTTTATTAAGCATGGTCCTCGTGCGAAAGGAGCTTAATTCTTTGTAAGTTCTACTTCCTTATTGAACGGGTGGCCCTCCCACTGTCCAGGGATCCCATGGTTGTCCCAGGTCCCCGCCAGGCGCTCCCCTCCGTCCAGCGGGGATGTCTCCCAGCAGGCGGCCCGCGCCCCCGTTTCCTTACATAAAGGGCACACTGTGCGCGGTGCTGCCCTGCCCAGGAGTCATGGCCTGGCGGCTGCAGGCGTAACCTTGTCCTTCTCAGGCGAGGACAGCACCTGCCTCCTGCTCAGGGGATCGAGATGGTTGCGTCCACATGTGTGTGGATGTGCCACAGAGCGGCCTCCCGGCAGCTCCTTGCTCTGACCGCAATCACCGCCTCCTCCCTCTGACCACCACCTCCTCCCTCTGACCGCCACCTCCTCCCTCTGACCGCCGCCTCCTGCCTCTGACCGCCGCCTCCTCCCTCTGACAACTGTCCTGCCCCTGACCACCACCTCCTCCCTCTGACCACCACCTCCTCCCTCTGGCCGCCGCCTCCTCCCTCTGAACACCGCCTCCTCCCTCTGACCGCCGCCTCCTCCCTCTCAACACCACCTCCTCCCTCTGACCACCGCCTCCTCCCTCAGACCACCGCCTCCTCCCTCTGGCCGCCGCCTCCTCCCTCTGACCACTGCCCTCTCCCGCCCTCCCGCTCAGTTTCTGAACGCTCTTCCTTTCTGTTAACCCTCCTCCACAGCTGGTGACTTGGCCAACGAGCTGGTCCGGCACTTCCTGGTCGAGTGCACCCCGAAGGGCGTGCGGCTCAAGGGCTGCTCCAACGAGCCCTACTTCGGTGAGTGCGGGCGTGGCCGGACCGGCCCGAGCGGGCTTTCACTCCCGGAGCGTCCCTCTCAGCGTCTCCTGTAGTCCCCGCTTCCCAGGCTCCTCTCCCCCACGCCCGCCCCTGAGTGAACCAGGTGCGAAATGGCCCTGGAAAGCCCACTCCACGCCCAGCAATCGCAGAGCCGGGTGGCCGGAACCGCGGGGCAGCAGAGACGGGCCCTCTGTGCGGCCAGCCCTGACCCCGCAGGCCTGTGGGGTGGTCCTGGGCGCTGGGCCAGTCCTGGGTGCTCTCCTGCGGCCCTGGAGCCGTGTCCAGAGACGCGGGAAGGTCGCCGCCCCCTGACTCGCGGACAGAGGCTTACTCTTAGGAGGCGTGAGGACGCGTGTCTGCCGCGAACCCTCGCCGCTTGCACCTCCCCTCCCTGTTCGCTGACGTTTTGCACAAAGTCCCCCCACGAGGCAGCGCGTTGGCTGTGGGCTCCCCCCAGGGGGCAGAAGGTGGCCCCGCTGCGCCCACACCGGCCGGGCCGGGACACCAGGCCTCGCGGGAGGCTCCTGCAGCAAAGGCTCCTGCAGCGAAGACTCCGGCTCAGACCTGCAAATGCGGGGGCCGCCCTTCGAGCCGCTGACCTCACCTGTGATCCCACAACCAGCAGAGCGTGGGCACTGCGGGCTCAGGGCGCTGGGCGGGCGTGCTCCCTCCTGGGTGTGAGAACAGCTACGGGAACAGGCAGCAGTGCACACGCCCACGCGTGTCCAACCCCATGTCCCAGCTCCAGTCACGGTACTTTATTCTCTTCCGTGAAGACGAGGAATCCACAGCCCAGGTCAATGTCGTTTACCTTGTATAACTCACTAGAGGCCGGTGCCCGGAGTCGTGTTCAGGTGGGTCCCTTGGCCCGGCCTGCAGGGATCGGGCCGAAACCGGCTCTTCGACACCCCCCGAGGGGGCCCAGATTGCGAGAGGGCGGTTCTCGGGTGACGCACCCCGGAATCAAGTTCCTTCCTCTCTGGTTCCAGTGCGTCACCCGAGAACCGCAGCTGCCAAGTCACCACAGCTCGGCAGCTCCTGCGTTGAGCGCCTGCCCCCTGGTGGTCAGTGTGCGTCATAGCTACCGGTCAGACGGTCTAACACAGTGGTTCCCAAACTTATTTGGCCTACCGCCCCCTTTCCAGAAAAAATATTACTCAGTGCCCCCTGGAAATTAATTTTTTTTAAATTTTAATAGCAATTAAACAGAAAGATATATGTATTAATGTTTCTACCTTTTTCGTAAAATATAGTAAAGAAAGGTGTGAATTAGAAACATTGAAGTTTGAAATTATGAAACTATTTATTGAACTCAGAATAGAAAACTAATACAAAAAAAGTTAAAACAAATGCACCTGTGGCCATCACCGCCCCCCTGGATCGCTGCAGCGCCCACCAGGGGGCGGGAGCGCCCACTTTGGGAATCACTGGTCTAACAGTTGGAAGGTCGCTTAGGCTTTTATATAGATGGATTTAGGCCCACGGTTTCCCACCGGTGCTGCGAGGTTATGGCGCACACAGCACCTGCCTGTGGCCCGGCCCGGCCTCTGCTCCCCGAGGCTGTCCAATGACTGGCACAGCCACCCAACAACAGCCGTCGTGTGAAGGAATGAAGTCACACCTATTGCTCTTGACAGGGCGGAAAAATACATATTTTTTGCTGAGCCACAGAATTTTAGTCCTTACTTTATGTGCCTGAAATGAAAAGGCTGAAAATCGCTGCTATGAATACATTCTGAGGTTCAGACCCAGGAAGCCCCCTGCTGGCCGGGCCCCCGGCTTTTCTCAGACGGCTGGGCGGGCCTCGGCTGGACGGCGTCGCCAG